AGTATTATTGTACTAGAGCAATAATAAAACAGAAAATGGACTTTTTCCCCACGTAAAGATTAAAATCTTATAGTTTTAACCCAAATGTGACCTAAAATAAATACAACGTATTTCAAAAGTTAAAAAGAACAGCATTTATTCAAAATAGAAATCTTTTCCAACAATATAAGCCTTTACTATCACTTTTTTATTAATTTAACATATCCTTGCTGAATAAAAGTATTAATTTATTTCAAAAAAGAAAGAAAAAAAATTACAAAAAAAAGTAGTGTATATTGTTACAAAAGATTTCTATTTGAAATAAATGCTTTTCTTCTGAACTTTTTATATTCATCAAAGAACCCTGAAAGAAGTATCACAGGTTCACAGTCTAACAGCAGCACAACTGTTTCCAGCACTGATAATAAATCAGCATATTAGAGTGATTTCTGAAGGATCATATGACACCGAATAATAGTAATAGTTCATGATAATTCAGCTTTGCCATCACAGGAATAAATTATATTTTAAATTAAATAGAAAAACGTTATTTTAAATTGCAATAACCGTTCACAAAGTTAGTTCCCTTTCCTGGGAACTTCGAACTGGCAGTGTCTCGTTCCCTACTCAGGGAACCATGGTTACATATGTAACCTGAGACGTTTTTTCTGTATTTTTGATCAAATAAAAGCAGCTTTGATGAGCACAAGAAACGTTTTTTTTTTAAAAAACATTACAAATAAATCGTATAAAAATAATCGCCAAACAATGACGATGGCGCCGACGGTGATGGCTGCCTCCGTGGCGTGCTCCGCAGTTGTTTTTATGTTTTTGTTAGTTTGTCCTGTCTTTAGTTATATCCCTGCAATCAGTTTCACCAGAGACGAATTGCTGGACAATCGGAAGTACCACCCGATATTTCACCGGTTTTTGATTATTCTGATGTTTTGCTGGACATTGTAGTCGGGGGAGCTGTGGCGCTGATCAAGCACTTCAGGATGCGCAGACGGGGGAAGCGAGCCGGCGCACTCATGAAGCTCAGGCAGCGCGGATTCAGAACGCCGTTGCCGAGCATCCACCTGGCGAACCTCCGCTCTCTACCCAACAAAACAGACGAACTCCTTCTGCTCTCCCGGACAAATAAGGATTTTTCATGTGTTTTTTGTTCTGTCACTGTCATTCTGTTACACTGTGGAAGCTTCTGTCACGAAAACAAATTCCTCGTATGTGTAAACATACCTGGCAATAAAGCTCATTCTGATTCTGATTCTGAAAAATCTTACTAATCCCAAACTTTTGACCAGCAGTGTACATTTAAGAGTATATAACATTTTATTTTGCTTGCTTGTTGTTTATTTTGAACCAGGCCAAGCATTTCAAATGATTTCTCCAAGGAATTCAAAAGTGCTAGTGAGAATATTAACTATGAGAGATTCAACAGCAGCTCTCTGATCCTGACCATACAATGCTTTCTGCCTCTGATGGCCTTAATGCAGTGAATATTCACCGCTACATGAGTGTCTGAACAGGCTCTTGGGTTCCCCCTCCACACCAGACAGACTCACTGGCCTGGCTCTGCATTCACTGGAATTAAATCAGGCACTTTTACAGATGGCCCAAGTGAATTATTTATGGCCGCAATAAAGTTATGGCTGCCACTAATTTGGAGTTTGATGGGGTTGTCCTTTAACTGAGGATCCTGGGCAAACATGAAGTATTTACTGTTTTCACAGATTTGATTAGTCCTTCATGGTCTCGTGTATCTCTGACGCACAGCACTGAGGCTGCGTAGCCTATCTGTGGATGTCAGATGAAAAAGACTGCAGAGTCGGGAAACAATTCAAATGCTACATGTATTTATTTTAGACCATAATATAATATTATTATATTTATTTATTTAAATTCTAACATGCACAATTTATATTAAAATGCTTCTTTTAAACAACACGTTTCTTTGACTGTTTTTTTATATACTATTACTAGTTTCCACTACATGAAAGCAGCATAATTATTTCTGTGTTCGTATCAACAGGTACTCACACGGTGCATATAAGCATCGAGTGCTTTTAGCTTAATGCAGTGTGACAACATGTATTTGTTGTGCCATTTTGTCACAAAGCATAGACGTGTTAAATGATCCGTCTCTTTTTTTTTGTGGGCAATAACATTATCTATACAGAAATTGTCTTTGAAAAAAAAACACCTATCATAAAAAAAGCCACTGCATTCCCTCTATAACATTATAATTTTGGTAAGGAGTGCATGCATTTAGATGCATTTGAGGAAAACTTATCTTCACTGCTTCTCTGTGTATCATCAAGTTGCCATTTTTCATCAAGTTGCAAATGCAAAATAATTAGCTGAGTGTTACGAGAGCATGTGAAAACCGTCATCGCTTGCCCCCCTGCACTGAATCCACAGCGCATTCAGCATGCAGAAGTTTGATTAGCATTAGCGAGGTACATATTTCCTGTCTTGTCAACAGTCCTGTTTGGCCCGAACAAACACATGGCCCATTTGTGAGTAAACTGGGTGTTAGGCAAGCATTAATATTCATCCTTTTCCATCCAGCTTGCTCTGTCTGAGCTCCCTGAGGTATTCACGTCTGATCAGGACAAGCACTCACCCATGTGAGGAGCCTGATGAGTTTAGGAGGCTTAATTAATCAAAGCCGTCTCTCTTGCTCTCTGTGATTCATCTCTTTTCCTTTAACTTTCTATTTCCTCTCCATGTTCAGCTCCCTCCTCCGCCCATCATCAAAGTCCTGGTGCTGAGGGGAAATGGAGGCGATCTCCCATCTCTTTCCTGCGATTAGCATCCTGTTGTTTCTGTGTGAACTCAAGCCGTTTAATCAAACACACAGCAGGCCTGGGTCATAATGACCCCGAAGCGTAACCAGCGAATCTGCTCTTAAAGAACACTTTGAGCTCCATTAGCTTTGCTTGTACAAAGTGGAAAAAGAAGCATCTGTCTATAGCTTCTTCTAGCTAGCCCTCTAGTCAAAACAAGCAATGAAAGAGCTGATTCAAAATAACATTAGCTGATAGTATTGAAGTTGTTATTATTTCTGAATTATTAATTTTAGAAGTGCATGTCAGGTGTTTTTAGTATTTTATTAATATTAAAAATCATCCAAGTGGATGCTGCACACTGGTGGTGGTTGAGGAGAGACCCCCCCACATGATTGTAAAGCGCTTTGGGTGTACAGCAATACACAGTAAAGCGCTATATAAATGCATCATTCATTCATTCATTCATTCATTCATTCATAAATATGAATAGTTTAGTTAGCATGTACAATACAATTCAAATATTTAAATTAATACTTTCATTCAGTAAGGATGCATTCAATTGATCAAAAATGACAATAAAAGACATTTATAATGTTGCAAAAGATTTCTACTTCAAATAAATGCTATTTCCTATAACTTAAAATCAGTGTATTAGAATGATTTCTGAAGGGTCATGTGACACTGAAGACTGGAGTAATGATGCTGAAAATTCAGCTTTGCATCACAGGAATAAATTACAGTTTATAAAACATATAAAAATATATATTTTAAATCGTAATACTACTTCACAATATTACTGTTTTTACTGCAGTTTTATTCATCAAATAATTTCCGCCATGGTGAGCATAAGAGACTTCTTTCAAAATTATAACAAATCTTACTGACTCCAAAACTTTGAACAGTGGTGTATATACTTCTGTATTTCTTCATCTTTTTATCCTGAAGTTAATGTAAAATCCTGCCATGTTCTGTTCTCCATTAGATGCTTCGATCAATGTTAACAAACTAGTATATTCAGGTCTAGACAGGTATGAATTTTGAACTTACGAAGGTAAGAGCCACTACCAAGATCAGTAATGCATGCAAACAACAGAGCATTTCCTGCCTCTGCTGTTGTACATAAGTATATAGCTGTGGTGGACTGTGCTGAAAATCCTATTACACAGAGAGAAAAATGTCATTACAGTAAGAGAGCTGTTTCTGATTCTATTTTCTGTTGCGATGAGGGAAACCCTTGTCAGGGCCGAGTGAAGGGTGTCATCCATCAGATGCTATTGCCTGTCTGGATGATAAGTCTTAATCCACTTGTTTCAGCAGTAGATAGATTAGCGACAGACTAATGCACCGTGAATGAAGCGCTGCCACTTGTAGTCAAACACACAGGTGTCAGGAACCATCTCATGGGGCAGGCCAGGAAACGGTCACTCAGAGCCCATAGCCAAAGTTCATAACACACAAGCTCCTAGAGCATTATAAAAAAATAATATTCTGTGCAAAACAAAGAGAAAAAAGGGTTCAATTAGGTACAAATGTCTGCCTTTTAAAAGGGTACTGCCCAAGTGACAGCTTTTGTACCCTTTTCTGAAAGTGTAGCATACAGTATATAATGTATATATAATATAGTGTGTATATAATAAATAATACATATAATATAGCAGCCGCAAATCCGTTTAAAATATCTCTGCATTATTTAACAAAATATCTAACCAAGTGGCATTTCTTTTAAAGAAAATAGCACACAATTTGCATTTTTTAAAGACATCCCTGTAGTTCAAACGGTCGATTCATGAAATATATACTGAATGCATTGTATGTGGCTTTGGATGAAAGCTCATGCCAAATGCATAAATGTAAATATAAAAGCTTTAACAAAAAGTTTATTAGGTTACAAATAAGAAAACAATAGATATATTGTTCAAATTAAGGCAAAAATTCGAAAACATATTTGAACACAATCTGGTTGCCAAATGTAAGTGAAATATTATCATTTTCATTATAGTTTTCAGACTGTTAAAATGTAGGCCAATAGCACAAGATAAAGATGCTATTTTATAGAATGATCCCATGGTTGATCTATTCAGCCATTGTAACAGCATCTTCTACAAAACCCGAAAAAGAAAAAGAAACTCGAAATATCATTCGAGCATTATTAAAAGGTACAATGGAGGGGTTGGGCCGAGTGCTGGGCTGCCACGCGTCTTAAATGAAAAATGTCTTTCTGTGTCCCAGGAGCCTGTGAGCGCTGATGCCTTTAGATGCCCAAGCAGCCGAGCCTATAAAACCAGGGATATGCAAAACAAGGGGGGAAAAATGAATATGCGAACAAAGGCGGAGCTCCTATCCCCTGGGGTGTGAGGACGAGGACGGGTGCGGAGAGAACTGAAATCACCTCATCCAGCGAGCTACATCATTTGCATGGTGCATAATCTCCAAGGCTCTGCCATGCAAATACCTCATAATGTTGATACGGGAGACTTTCAAGTGGCTGTCAGGGGTGAATTTATGCACTGCCAGCCAATGCAGAGCCCTAAATCACTTTCAATTAGGTGACACTTTCAATATACAGACTCTGATTTAGAGATATGGATAGTTCTCCCTGCTTTGAGGCCTGAATCGAGCCAACATTGCCTAATATCAGATTTAATTCAGAAGTTTTGGCCCTCACCCTCCTCTGCCATGTCTATTCCCATTTTCTCTGAGGTAAATTCATTTAGGCTTACTCTTTCTGTTTTAGGTGAAGAGAGACACATTTAGTATGTTTGTAACACACCGTGATTCAATAAAAATGAGAAAAAAAAAGAAAGTAAAGACATGCGTTTTCTGACTGCTACCTGCTCTATCAAATGTAGCCATTTTGTGCATTTGAGTTTAGCACATTAGATTTTTTTTGGACATTTATTCAAACAGGAGGCTATAGGCCTATTAAATAAAACAATAATAGGTTAAGTAAATGTATAATATTGTGCATATACTGTATTTAACAATACATTCACCATTTAAGCATTATGGAAACTGAATGACTTGCCTGAGGTAAATGTAGGCTAATGTTACATGACAAGGCATTCACAAGCTGTTTTATTTACTATTTTTCGTGAATAAAACACAGATTGGGAGATTAGACTAGACATGATGCAGTTCAGTAAACTGTACTAAATCTTTCAACACCATCTGATATTCATTCTTGTTTTTTTTTTGTTTGAAAACTACAGAGGAAGAGATGGACCGTTTGCTCGGTTACGCTCTCCATGTGTTGCCTGAATGGAGCAACATGTAACGCCACATTAATGACGACCAAAACAACGTTTAGCTATCGTTTGAATTAAGAGAAACTGAATTATAAGACTTGATTAAAAGTAAAATATGTCAAAAAATCTAAATTCAGTGTTTAAGTAATTCTGAGTTTCTGAGTATACGTTTCTGCTTATAATCATGTCCTCCTCGAAACGGCTCATCTGACTAGAGCTCGTCATATAGGCCTACTTTTGAGACAGACAGACAGACAGACAGACAGAGAGATAGATAGATAGATAGATAGACGAATGATAGGATGTATGCTAACGTGTATTGGTGGCAGAGAGAGCACTCTATCGCACACGCACACAGCGGGAAGCTTATTAATAGCTCTAATTTGATAATCAGGCATAGGGATCTGGGGCGATTTGTAGAAGAAGTAATTGTGCCTGTAATTGTGTCTCAGTCCAGCTAAGGGCTTTCATTTCCTCTAATGGAGTGAGTGTGGGACAAGACAGAGGAACACGGGCTGTCAGAGCAGTCAAAGGACAGAGCAAAGATTTTATACTTATCCATTTATCATCCCTCCTTCATTTACATTTCCGCTCCTGACACCGATGAGGCCTATCAGATAAAGACAGAGATCATATCATACCTCAAGACAATAATCTTATCTGACACTATGATTCACTATGTGTACCAGTCTCAGTAATAGTCAAGGCAAAATCTGATTAAAATGTCTGCCCCTATCTGCTGAGTCCACTTCACAGATCATTTAGGACATCATTTAGGGAGTTAAAAGTTTTAATTTGAAGGAGAATACGATTATTTCATATCCTGAATGATTTTACCTCCTTCATTGGGGTGATTTTAAGATTTCTTCAGACATTATAAAGAGACACAGTGTCAGGAAGGTTGAATTGAGCTTAATTGAGACATCAACTGCAGTTAAAAGATCCATATCCTCATTTAAGGAGTTTCAAGGTGCTGTGTTTTACCTCTCAATTACACATTTTATAACAAATACTACTTTTGATAAAATTTTAAAGTAGCCTAATACCGCACACATCAGGGCTCCAGTTTTATCAATAATTTTCAGTCAGTATTTCTTTAAGAAATGTAGGATTGATTAAACTAATAATAAAATGATTCTTCATGATTAAAATGAAGACTGTAAAGACTTGCACATAAAAAACAAACAAACATTTTTTGCACAAAATATTAAGCTTTCAACATGTATAATAATAAGAAATGTTTAAATCAGTGCATTAGAATGATTTCTGGATCATGTGACACTGAATACTGGAGTAATGACTGCTAAAAATGTAGCTTTGCCATCACAGGAATCAATTACATTTTAAAATATATTAAAATAGAAAACAGTGATTTTAAATTAATTCACAATAGTTCACAATATTACTGTTTTAATGATCAAATAAATTGAATGCAGCCTTGGTGAGCAGAAGAGACTCAGAATTAATACCCCAATTTGAGTAGGCTATACATATATATACAGTATATATATATATATATATATATATATATATGTGTGTGTGTGTGTGTGTGTGTGTGTGTATATTAGGGCTGTCAGTCGATTACAATTTTTAATCTAATCAACTACGTTTTGATTAATTAATCTAATTAAAATAAATTTGACAGTGAAAATACCCACAAAAGATTATTTAAAGCTATTTTTGTGTTAAATGAGAAAGTATCAGGAAGACATTACAAATTGTAGCTTCAGAAAGAAATATTTTATTTGATTCAACATATAAATTTATTACACATAAACATTTAGGTTACAACGGGATAACAAACTATGGAACATAAAAGAAGATAATTTGAGAAACACCTCAGTATATTTTGTTCATACAATGGAAGTCATTGGTAACCAAAACAGCGTTGTTACCAACAGTCTTCAAAATACCTCCTTTTATGTTCCACCAAAGAAAAGTTTGAAATGACATGAGGGTGAATAAATTATGACAGAATTTAATTTTTTGGGTGAACTATCCCTTTAATGGTTTTATTATTATTATTTAGTTATTTTTAATGAAATGATACTCTACATACTCTAAATGTGACCCTGGAGCACAAAAGCAGTCTTAAGTCGCTGTGGTATATTTTTAGTAATATCCAAAAAAAACATTGTATGGGTCAAAATTATCGATTTTTCTTTTATGCCAAAAATCATTAGGATATTAAGTAAAGATCATGTTCCATGAAGAACATCACAACACGTTCCTACTGTAAATATATCAAAACTTAATTTTTGATTAGTAATATGCATTGCTAATGACTTAATTTGGACAACTTTAAAGATGATTTTCTCAGTATTTAGATTTTTTTGCACCCTCAGATTCCTGATTTTCAAATAGTTGTATATCGGCCAAATATGGTCCTATCCTAACAAACCATACATCAATGGAAAGCTTATGTATTTAGCTTTCAGATGATGTATAAATCTCAATTAAAAAAAAATTGACCTTTATGACTGGTTTTGTGCTCCAGGGTCACAAATAACAAACTAAGTCTGCCAGCAGGTGGCGGTAAATGGCTTCATGAGTCATTTATTCGAACGGCTGATTCATTCAGGAATGAAGTAGGTCTAAATGGCTCTCTTTATGAATGGGCCTTTGAATCATTGATTCACACGATTCGTTCAAAACGCGGATTCATTCAGAAACTAAACACCGCTGTGCACTCTAGGGGTTGAACGACTTCTGATTTTTTGAAGTCGACTTTTATGTGATGAAAGTCGAGTCGAAGTCGACTAGTCGCTGATGACGTCATTAATGAACAAATAAGTCTGG